GCCATGGCACTACACTTCGGCTGGAATCCGAGCAGAGACCACACTCTACGAGGTTGTGGCTGGGACGGTGGAGTCCACGTGCCATTAAGTTAGCTTTCCAGTGTCACTCTCCAACTTGAGCCCAAGAGCTCCAGCACCACACGCCGTCCAGAGCAGCGGTACCCAAGACCGACTACCAACGCAGCTCCAAGAAAAGCACAAGTACGTTCATTGATGTTATAAAATGAACGTTTCTAGCATGTTGAGTCTGCGTTATCTACCATGTTTGCTGGTGCAGTGCAATGAGCTCGACATGAAGAAGTGCGTGATTGGGTCGCGCTCGTAGTCAAAGTACTGGCACTTTGGGAGTCGTCGCCATCATCTCCGTCTGGATCGTACTTGCCAACTACTTCGTTGTCGAGGGTGCCAAGGCCATGGACGTGCACAGTATGCACGCATTGGCCATCCACGCCCACAGCCTAGATCCTGCAGCTCATTGGTCACGGCGTCTTCGATCGTCGCAAACCGGCACTCTTCGACAGCCTGGACCAGGCTCTGATCACCGCTCCGATGTTCGTGTAGCTCGAGATTTTGTTCCCACTCGGTTACCGTCCGGAACTCTACACGCGCGTGATGAAGCAGGTCTGGATCAAAGCAAGACCTTCCAGGCTACAAAGACGCTGTAGTTGAGGCCACAAGACAGTGACTTTTGTGGCCTCATCAAAATAAAATATGTATTGTTTTCGATATATCTATGCGAATTTTCTCGTTAGGAGGCTACGACGATCTCTGCCATCTCTATGAGACTTTTGGCAATACCCTCCGCCCCACTGACGAGACAGTTGAGAAGTAAGAACTCCTCCATCGACACCTTCTCGTAGCAACGTTCTTCCAGCAGCCATTCCACGTACGCAGTCTTCATCTGCGCCGCGATGTCGCTACCGAAGAATTCCTCCACATTTAGAACGTCGTGCTCGCGACACATGGCAGGAGCCGATGACGCAGCCGCCGAGACTCTCTTGTTCTTCGCAACGGACGAAGCTTTGGACGAGTTGCGTTAGCTCTCACGTGACGGCATCGCGGCTCGAGAATTGTTGACATTCGCTTCCTGCACACCCAAAGGTGGAAGTTTGGACTGAATCTTGTCGCCAGAGTCCACGTCGACGACCTTCGACTCGTCGTTCTCGCTCGCATCTCCCGCATCGTCCTCGTTCTCATTGATAGCTGCCAGCCCATGCTCCGGTCTGGCTACCAGAGCCGAGGCCTTGGGTCTACATTGCGTGTACACCTCCACCTCGAGCTTGAGGCCGTTCTCCAGCGCCTCGACGAGCTCTTCGAACGACACCAAGCCGCTGTTATCTTTGTTACCACCAGGCATTCCGAAATAATCATTGTATTGCTGCTTCAATACAATAGTTTACACTTAATTATTGATTTTTATAAATTGGATGACTTTTTCCAATTAGTTATTTTGTATTTACAACAAAGTACTTTATTTTTTCGTAAAATCTAGTTTTTTCTGCTTTGTTTTGCGTAAATACGGAGCTCGGTCTCCAGACAGAATCGAATGGCTGTTAGCAACGGTCGCTCAAAACGCGAACCTGAGGCGCTCGTCTATCATTTTTGATCTCACCATGGCTCTCGCCAACACCTTCACGACCAAGCAAGTCTGCAGCTACTTTTTTACTGCCAGCTTGGCGACTTCTAGTCGGCCACCATGAAGCTTCAAGACGACAACGTAACGCTTCTCGATGTGCGCGATATCTTTGATGCGCTCATCGAGAAGCATTCCGTTGTGAAAAAGTATCTTGCTGCCGACGCAAATATTGTTAAGGACGTGGACTTCGAGCGAGCGTGCGTTGTAGCCCTGTCAGGCGCCGTGGACGAGCTGACGAACGACCAGGAGCTGATGTTGCAGCCATTTGAGACGGTACCCGCAATTACGACACCGGACACCAGGCACGGACGCCCACAGGGCTTTGCCGACAGAGTCTTGGCGACTAGAAAAAAGCGGCGCGGTGCAAAGAAGGTATTTGATGGTGTTCTTTTCATCCCGCCGACGTCAAACACCGTGGAGCGTCTTTTTAGTGTGGCGAAACATACTCTTTCCCACCATCGCCAGCGTATGCTGCCTATTCACCTTGAAACCGTGTTGTTCCTGAAGATGAATCGGCCTTTCTGGGACGCAAACACTGTAGCAGCTATCGTGAACGCAAAGTAATGTGCAGTGCTGTACATCTAAGTAGTTAATTTTCCAATACACTACTATTGATGTCAATTATTTATTTCTTAAGTTGTAGTTTTTGTAGCAATAGCTTATTTTGGCATGGACCTTCAATATGATTGTAATTGTATCATCAGAATGCCTGTTCACCACACGCATGAATTCCTCGACGTATTTGTGGATCTCGCCTTGCTTGACCGCGCCAGACTGGGCGAAGATGGTCTCCAGCATGTCTGCCACTTCGTCCGCGTCGATCTCGCCGCTACAGTCCTTGTATGCCAAGCGGAAGGCCTATTTCATCTGCATGAAGATTGCGGTCTGGTCCGGCTCCGAGTACAGCTAATGCATCGCGAAAGAGCATCTCTCCAACGTCTTGAACGAATCGGTCACTACAGTCTGGAATTGGCTCTACCACTTTGCACTTGTGCTCGTTGCTGTCAAGTGAAGCTTCAGTGTCTCAAATGTCGACACTATTAAGCTGAACTCGGTCGTGTTCGACGCGGAAATTGAACCACCGCACCAGCTTAAATAGTAGCGTGTTGTTGTTCAGTAGTCGACGTAAACACTCGAGAACTTTTCACATTTCAGAGTCGAAAACGCAGGTCTCCACATGAGCGGTTCGGCTTGAGCCTCCGCCACTGAGGACGCTTGTTGCGCATGTTTAGCAGGGATCTTGGCCTGCTCCATCTAAAAGATCGTCGTTCTCACACTCC